CTTCTATATTCATCAGTTATGTAGAGAAATTATAAAGAAATTACATAAAAAAAAGAATTTAAATTAGTTGTTTTTACACTTTTTCCTCTTATATTAATGTAAAGAAACTAAATATTACTGTGAATAAAGGAAACAGGAGCTTCTAATGTCAGAAAAGTATCATAACTTTATTATATCTAATATAATAAAGTAACCAACTACAACTACGAGTTGCTATTAATTCATATATATAGTTTAGTTCTCCTTTTATAAGTGTAAGGGGATTTATAGTTACTTTATATTAATTACATTTCAGTTAACGTAGAAAACTATGAAGGAACTAAATACTACTAATAATGCTAGGAAACTGTGTAAAATAAGTAAGAACTATTATTATATGTAGTTTATATAAAAGGATTTTTAATAAGTAGTCTCCTTATATAGTTTAATTCCACCTTTTATTAATATAAGGGAACTAAGTAGATCAATTAATGTTCTACAGCTCGAAAATCTGTTAAATCTGGGTTCTTTCTGCGGGAGGTCTTTATAACAATGTCATTTCTCTATCTCAAGGGATGCGATACCCCGATTTTGAGGACGTGGAGGGGATTTTATTCTCACACACAACATGATTCTTTACACGAGTACCTCGTATTTACGATTATTTCATCTTTAATTTCGCTTCTCGACCCCCGTAAATGTGTTACTGTTGTGTATAATGCGCAAGAAAATCATCATCCTACAAGCAAACTGAAAGCGAATGAATTTTCTGAATACCTTTACAGAAGTGCAACGCCCGTTCACCTCGTCACGTGCCTACCTATGGGTCATAAATAAAAGGGAAAGTAAGAAGAACCCCGAAAATGTTTTCTGATAGAAAAACATTGTTGTGTTAGGTATTTGTAAAGTCTGGCGTGCTACTTATTATGCATGTAGAACAAGACGCTTACCCTCCACAATTAAGTCGTCACCTCTTCGAAAACTAATGAAGTCGTCAGTGGGATACGCTGCCCCCCGGTGCTGTATTTGTTCTGTGCGAATTATCATTTAATTACCGGGTTAGAAGGGGGCGTCGACAATTTATTCTCCCGAGAGCAAGCACACCCAGGCATACAGGTATGCAGTGACGCCATCTTAATAAGCTGCTGCGCTTTATATCTATTTTCATTATGGCCGCACTGCCGAGTGGGTAAATATGAGGCTATTAATCTTATAATGTGCTTTTATAGAGACGAGCCTCCCACTTTTAGCGATCGTTTCGGGTTTTTTTATGTTAGATTTGATAAATTTTGAATATATTTTTGTTTTCGAATGTATTTCGAAGTATAAATAATTTTTTTTTCTCTCCTCGCTTTAAATCTGTCGGTCATAGTCTTATTTTTATACCTTTTTTTCTATGATTTGTATAAAAATCGTAAAGTTTAAAGCTGAATTTTATGCTAAAGTTGTTAACTTAAAAAGAAAAAAAAATGTCAAATTTGTGGGCTTCTTACAAAGATTATGAGCTTCAAGTAATGATGACGGCTTCATTTAATGGTTAAGCTTCAAATAATGATTACGGTGGTTTAATAAAAGTTATGAAGTTCAAATAAAGGCTATGAGTTTCAAGTAAAATTTCTTTATATAAAGACTATAAGCTTCGAGTAAATATGAGATTCGCATCAATGTTATGACCTTTATGTTTAGTGTATAAAATTTTTATGCATAGATTGTAAACCTCGTGTGAACGTCGAGGTTCTTACGAAGGTTTTGGGTTTCGTGTAAAGGCTGGAAGCGATATAAACTCTATATAAAGGTCACGAAATGAGCTTGAATTTTGTGTACAGATACTAGCTTATAAGTTTATAAGTGTTTATAACATAAGAACAAATGAAATAAATACCTAAAACGGAAATAAACTAATTATTCTCGACTGAAATAGAGCACAAAATCAACTCTCACGAAAATATTTCCATAGATAAAATCGAATAAAAATAATCTAAATTCGATTTTTTTTTAACATTAAAAATTAAAACTACCATCGTCAATTACATCGGAATCGATTTTTTATATGATTAATGAGGATAGATTTTAATAAATTTGGTTAATTTTTTTTAAAAAAAAAGCACTCTTTTCACCATTAGAAAAAAAATTGTTAAAAAGAATTTAAGAAGAAGGGGGAAAAGTGGAGAAAAAGTTATTAAGGAGTCCAAAAAGTGGCATAAGTTTGGGTTAAAACCAAAGGATCTTTTTTTATATTATTATTTCTTATTCTTGTTTCCATTTAGAACAATGGAAAAGGACGAGGTAAGTGGAGAACCATTAGTAAAATCTGTTTGTATGTTAATCGCATTTAAAGCAAGAGAAATTCTCAAACGACTAATAAGCTTTGTTAATTAATTGATGCAGTTTTGAAGTGATGACGTCGGAGAGAGAGAGAGAGTGCTACGTTAATTACGAGTCTAATATAAATGTGCAAACTACATTAATTACACTTAAGATGACGATTATGACCTGGAGTTAATTAGGTTAAAAATAAATGCGAAATTTCCTCGCTAATTAAGCCATTCAGACGATTGAAAACGGTTTTCATTAAAACGAAAGATGATAATGTGGCTAATTGCTCAACGTTTCCTCTTAATGTTCCATCTTCTCCTCCCCCCGTTTTCTCAATATAATCTAGAATAAAACAACCGAAAACATAAAAATCCCGCAAGCGTTAATTTAGTGGCAAATTGTGCATTTAATATATCAAATAAATAAATGCTAGGACAGCTTATATCATTTTAATTAATTTCTACCTCATTACTCGTCTACACTAAATGGCCAGTTACTTTACAGATCACTTAACTTTCTCTTAAAAACATACCTGGCACTGAAGGCGCCAGGTGGGCAAATTATTACCACAATATTAATTAGTCTATTTTTTACTGGTTGAACAGGTAAGCAAATTTTGGTTAGAAGCAGTTGTAGAAGCGTTAGAACTTCACCATGTTTATGAAAGTAAAAACTTTTATTACTTATTAATACACTTGACAGGACGTTTTCGGTAGTTTAGGTAGGCCTTTAAGTATTAGGAAATGGAAAAAATCGGGAGGGGGGTTTAAAAATATGGAATGTTTTATATGTTAAAATGATTCTAGACGTTTATAAATTAGTAATTAAATGACCGTTGTACGACCTTTGTACTTTATAGGCTCTCGTTTAATGTTTAAGTTACAAGTTACGAGGTTGTTCTGGAAGGCAAAATGATTGTGATCGCTTCTGTCATAATGTAGTGACACGGATCGTCGGGTTGCAATTAAATATCTATAGAGAGATGTTGACAGACCATTAATACACTTCTATATGTCAATAACGTACTGTACCCGATGTATGGGCCCATCTCCTCCCCCGTTATCTTCTGCGATTTTCTTAAAATTGCACAATTAAATCGGCTGCGAAGTTAGAGTAAATGTAAACATATTTTTCCTTTTTTAAAAAAAAATAATCGATTTTTGATAATCGTTAGATTAATTTAGTCGATTTCTTTAAAAAAAATTTATTGTCATATCCTCACAATATCCTCGTTTTCTCCATCTGAAATATGTAATGGCTTGCCCCTGTACATCACACCTTTCCTTTAACAATAAAATCATGCAGGTCATCTATTAATTGTTTTCAGAGGAAAAGTTTAAATTGAAATATCGTTATTAAAGTAGTTTTTATATAGTTAATAAGGGCCTACTCCCTCTAATCTTTACATATTTCTCTCGAATTTTATCTATCTCACTTATTTTTTTGAGATTAAGGAATGACGGACGGACAGACGAACAGACGTTAGTGGAAATTTATAGGTCTACAATATTTTATTTTCGAGTTCAGACCATTTAAGACATTTTATATAAATGGAAATTCAATATATAATTTGCTTTAATAATCTATTTTCGTTCGTATTAGTGGAGAAACATATTTTTCTATTTTGAGAGCCAAAAAGTAGGGATGTTCTAATTTTGGTGATAAGTTTAAATTCCCTTTCGACAAATTTCTTTTCCTATTTTTTTTAAAAATAACATTTTTAAATGTTAAATTACGTTAAAAAAATCTAATACTAAATTTTCTTACTAAAANTTTTATTGTGTTTCGTTGGCATGAAGCTATGAATTTTATTTATATCTTAATATAATGATATCACATATTCGAATCATTTCTTAACAGGCGACAGCTGTCGATGGCAATGGCTTTTATTAAAATAAAGAGATTTTATTGCTCTTTATTAGCTTTATTCATAAACACAATACAAAACTTTCTTAACAATTTCAAAGAAGTCTTTATGCAAATTTAATTTAATTAATTTACTACCTAATCATTTTTTGAACAAGACAAAGCGGAGAATATGCGATTAGAATAGTTAAAATATTTATTTATTTTAATCTTTTTTTTTAAAAAATTAATGATAATTAAATAGTTTTCTTTAATGTTATACGATTAATGGTAACTATTTATAATTCAAAATAATTTCAAACCTATTTAGATTATCGTGAAATAAAGATATGTATGAAGACTGTTAGTAGGTTAGTGCTTAAAAATTCTAAACTTTAACTGATAATTAGGAAAATTAACATTTTGATTTATGTTCGACTTTTAAGTCTCGTTAGTTTCAAAGTATGAATATTTAGATAGGTTTTGCGCTATTAATTTTGATAGGACATTAAATTTTTTTAGGTAAATTTAAGGTTAAGATGCTCTACTTTGATGTTGCCCCGATTTTGTGGAGAAATGTTAACACTTTGTTTTTATCTTGTACAAGTTTTTGGAAGTTTAAACATAATTATAAGCTATAAATTATTACAATTTTGAATTAAAACAATGCGATGAAGTTTCTGCTTACGCTCGAATTTAACAATTAAAAAGTTAGCGAGAGTGGCCAAAACGTCATCGATAAGACCACCTCCAAAATTTATGGCATTGCCGGTTGCATCTCAACATGTGCCACTCGTCTAGTATAAGCCGGGTTGGTAGTAGCGAGAGGAATGGTTTAAAAAAAAATGCTTGCCACTCACCTGTGGGCGACATGATGGACTTGGTGGTGACCATCCTGTCTTTGGTGTCAGCTAGAATGGTGCTGACCCCAAACTTCAAGTAGGGGGCCGTCGAATAGTGATCCTGGTCGTTGGTGCATGTGGTACAGTCTCCGTCAGAACAGTTGGCCGTGACAGGTACGGGCCGCGCAACTTGGTACGGACTGTGCTCCCTCAGAAGGTTCTCCACAAAAAATGACGTGTTAACGTGAGGACTGGTAGTGGGAGAGGGATTGGTTATACCTGCGGAGGTCAAGGGACACCTGAGGAATGTCGGGTACACAGGATTCTGTGTCAAAAGGTTAGGGTACATGGCTGACTCTTCCACCTGAGTACATTTGATATAAGGAGACCGTCCCGTGTGATTTTTGTGCTATGAATTATACAAAACATTGAATAAGTCAAAAAATGATTTTGTAAAACGCGCACTGCGACATATGAGCACCCAATAAAGTGAATACGGCGACTTATCAACTGGACACATGAATCTATGGTGGGTAAGCCACACGAGCACTCCGATTGGCGGAGCGCTTCTCTTCCGCCAGCCGATTATGCAGCGTTGGGTCCGTCCTCTCTCTCCGCCGGTCACGTGACTGCTCTCTCCACCTTCTCGTCGGCCTTTTACTTTGGAAAACATTACAGACGATGCATAATGATTGCATAAAGAGCTACCTACCGACATCATTTTCACTATTTTCTATTTAACTTATTGTCTGTTAATGGCTCTTCCCTTCGTTATCCTCATCGCCCCTCTTCCGGTCATCGTCCCGTGTACTTTAACTTCCGATAAGTATTTAAACTAAAGTATCGAAGCATCGATCTAAATTTACTCAAATATCGCTGCCTATAGGCAGACTACTTACTAACAAATATCTAATTGTTAGGCGCCGTAGGGTAGGCATTTTTAATTTATGCAATTATCTCGCGATAGGAGTGGCCTTTACAGAGGAACTCTTAACCAAATTTCCTCTCTTTTTTTTTTTTAAATATCTGTAGTACATCTGAATGTGCTTTTTGATGTTAATACATTCCAAAAACATCATCTAAAAATTTCCGTCTTCGTCTTGTAAATATACTTCTTGTCACTAAAGCATCTTAATTAATTTTCCATTTTTTTTTTTAATGTGACTCCTATGAATCGCATTAACATCCAAAAACTTAAATTATCTTCTAAAAATATCTTTTATTGCAGATTATTTAATTAGATTAATAACAGGTCTGCTGTAAACGATGTTAAAGTTAATAAAAGGTAATCGACTCGAGTATTATTTTCTGAAAATAAAAAAAATAAAATAAAAAGTTAGAAAATAATTGAAATCAAATTCTCCATTGAATATTTAAGAAAATAAACACGAAAATTAGACTTAGTAAGTCCATGATTATGTATTCTATTAATGATTTTTAATTAGGAATTTGTTGTTGATTTTTTTTTTTTATGTTTGTCTTTTTGATGCTCTTTTCTAAGCCATAAATTATCTTAGAATTAGGAAAGAGGTTTTTTGAAATAATTAATAATAATCTCATAATTAAAGGTCGGTTAATATAAACATGATAAACTATCAGGAACACATTGAAAAGGTGATTTACATTAAGACATTAATCATTATCAAATTTTCTTTAAAAAAAAAAATCATTTAAAGGCTCTGTCTAAAAAAAACATTTTGATATTTTTCTCAATTTTTAAATGTTTTTCGATTTTTTTGAATTTTTCATTTTTCAAAAATATAATTGAGACTTCTAATAAATCATTTCTAAACGTTTTTTTTATTTGGAAATTGTTATTTTTTTAAATAGATTTTTAACCTGTTTTTAACTTTTAAATATTTTATTTTGTATTACTTTTAATCTCATTTTTTTATAGAAAAATTAAAGGGTTTTCATCTGTTTTCTTAAATTTTTTTTAAAGAAAATTTGAAAAAAGTACTGTTTTTTTAACTTCTCAAATGTTTAATTGTTTGAACCGGAAAAAAATTATATGAAATTTTTATTTTTCAATCTCCTATTGAAATATTCTTGTTTCATAAAAAAAAGAAATCCATTTTTTTTGGAACAAAGTCCAGTTGTTCCGTTTCAAAAAGTTTCTAATTTTTTTTTTGGTGAAATTGGGCAATTGAAATTGACTTTTTTAATGAAATTTTCGGACTTTTTTTCACTTTAGAAAAATTTCATTCTCTAGAAAGTTTCAAATTCTTAAAGCTAAGGTGAAATTTCAAAAAAAAAAAAAATTATATATACTTACAAATTGTATTTTTCTAGAAATGTTTTTAGATTTTAATATTTTAGTCGTTTAAAAAGAAAAAGGAAAACCTCTCAATTTTCAAAGAAACTTCCAAAGAATAAAAACAAACTAATCGAAATTTCTCAATTTCCAACGATTTCTGTTCCAATTTCCGAAAGTTATTTTTGAAATTTCCGAGAAGAAACGTCACGTGGACGTTTAAAATAATGCTCCGCGTGACGTTATCACGTAACGCAACTTTCGGATATCGTAACAAGAGTTAATAGGTAGATAATCGAGTATATAATCGTCATGAAAACTAATTATCGTTTGAAAGAGAAGCTCGGGAGCGCGATAAAGAAAGTGAAAGTGATTAGCGGAGGAGATTTAAAAACAGAGAAAAAGAAAGTGAGGAAGTTTGAAGATGTGACAATAGACGTTAATGCAACTTTAATAAGATGGGTTGACAGGCAGACGGATGCATAACAGCAGTCAAGCTGTTCGTTCATCGTTGAGGCATCAACAACCGACCTCCGATAGCAGCTTAATGGTGTTTTGATAGCGAAGTTTCAGGCGCACATGCCCTCTGTTGGACCACTCTTCTTTAGATAGACTTTTAATACTTGTCATTCTTTTGCTAGAAAACTTTTACGAATAATATTCCATCCCCTTTTTTAAAAAAACAATAAAAAAAAATCCTTCTGCAACTTTGCAACAATATATTTATTCATTCCGTTTCCAGCACTATACGATTTATATAAGTCATGAATGGAGATTCTTGCTCCAGGTTTTCTTTGCTTACAAATACGTGAGGCCTTAACATAACACGCTTTATGACGTCATATCTGTATGAGGTTCTTCCTTATAGATAAAACGAGTACAATTGGAGACATATTCTAGCACAGATTTGAAAGTGTTGAGGTAGAATGATGCTTTCCAATTATGCAGAAGAGGGTCGAAAAGAAGTACTTCTGTTTAATTTCCCTATTTTTTAAGACAAAAATTTAAGAATTAACAGATTGGACTTGTGCCTTTCATATAAGAGATAGGATATAATTTATTCTTATGATTCCACAGAAATTCTACAATATTCCAACTATATGAGTAGAACATGATAATGATTTCATCTACATAGGAGGACCTACAGCATAATGATTTCACTTAATAGCAGGACCTACAGCATAATGATGCCACCTAATGACAGGAACTACAGCATAACATTTCCACTAATGACAGAAGCTATAGCATGATGACTTCACTTATACATAGTCATAATGTTACATCCCCTGCCATAAACACGTGACACGATTATATTATAATATTTTTATATTAGATTCGCTTTAAATGAGTAATATTATATTTTACTCGGTTAGAAATTTCAATTTCGAACACAAGAATGCGTCTTAAAGGGGAAGAGGAGTAAAAAAAGTGGTTTAAAAACGGACATTTCCTGATGTAAAGAACGAGTTGCTTTCTTCACTGGTAGGAAGATGAATATAGTTTTGTTAGAAAATAAAATTCTAAAAAATTTCGTATCCAGTCAAAATTATGTTTTTCGAAATAAAAACAAGAAAAAGAATACAAATCGATAGAAAAATTCCTCCAAATGATAACAAAGATATTAATATTCGATTAGGGAAAGGTCGATTATATGCAGTTGTGAAAATATTTAGAAAAACGATCATATACATTTCATCATTTTTTTCCAAAAAATCACACTTATTTAATATAAATATTCTATATTTTTATAAAAACCTTAAAAATAAGGGGGTATATACACAATCGTTGGCGGGCGATCATGTGACCCGCCGTTAAAAACATTTTATTGCCAAAGAGGAGAGAGAGAAGGGGGGATTGGTGGTGGTGGTGGAAGGTAGTCTAGCACAGAACACGTCTTGCAGGATGGTGCTTTTGCTTCTGTGGGCGAACATGGTTGTGTTGTTCCATTCATCAGCATTGCCTGTCATCGCCAGATGCCAGGCCCCCGAACGTTTTAGTCGCAGGCCCTTGCCGGAATTGATGATCTTTTATTGGTTTGTAGGTGACGGTTGCAGCAAGGGGGAAAGTCGGGCAGGCGTGCTGGTCTAATTATAAGGAACAACTGTGCAGTCAGGCACGCCTCAATTCACTAAATGTCTCCTCCATACGATGGCAATGTGCTCTTGGCCAAGTCAAGAACAAGTGCGATTGACGGTGCAACTGGATTAACAGTAGTTATAAGACACATGACCCAAGTGGTGTGGAAAACACTGCCCATCCTTGTGATATACAATCTGTTTTGTTTTTTTGAAAAATCGAACTTTTCCTTATACTTCTTCTCCCCCTCTTTTATTTTTCTTTTCCTATGAATTTTAAAGCGTCGACCTGGACTCGCTTATAATAAATCAAAACTTCCTTTACGGTTTAAATTCTTCTTCTTTTCAAAAATACTTTAAATTCGTTCCGAAAACACTCTTTCCGATAAAGTGTTTTAAACAGGATACGTTTCTTCGTCTCAATATACGTCACGGAACAGGTGCTTAAGTGAACAGGGTTCGTGCTTCTTATCTAAAAAACACCCCTCCTTCATTCGAGTCTAAAAATGCTTTATTTCTTCCAAAAACTAAAAATGAAATGAAGAGAATTTCGGAAAATCGAACCTATCCTTTACTTCTTCGCTTCCTTTTTTTACTTTCCTATGAATTTTAAAGCGTCGACCTGGACTCGCTTATAATAAATCAAAACTTCCTTTATCGTTTAAATTCTTTTATCCAAAAATACCATAAAATGCTTTATTTGAGGGGGGCATCTTTAGAAGTAAATTTAAACAGGAAACGGGTCGCCATCTTAAAAGATACGTCATAAAACAGGTGCTCAAGATACTCCCTTAGGATGTGTTGTCTAAAAACATCCCTCTCTATCCAAACCTTCCAAGAATTGCTCTTTTCTAACCTATTCTAAAAAGTAAAGAGGTAACGAAGAGTTAGGAAAATCGAAAATTTCATTTATTTCCTATCCTTTGAATTTTAAATCTAGACTCGTTTACAATAAATCATCTGATTTTACGACTTAAATCATTCAAAAAATCTATCCAAAAACTTCTGAAACATGTCAAAAAGGGAGCTTTTTCGGAAGTGAATTTAAACAGGAAACGATCCACCATCTTAAAAAGATACGCCACAAAACAGGTGCTCGAGATACTCCCTCGGGATGTGCGTGGTTATCTAAAAACACCCCCTTCTAAAAATTGCTTTCTGGGGAAAAAAGTGGACACGTAATGAAGAGGATCTCGTAAAGTTTTAACGCGTTTAAACAGGCGAAAGGAGGGAGTTTTTTTTAGATATTTAAAACACAAAGAGAAAGAGGGGGCCGAATTGAAAAAGCAGTAGTACTTATTGATTATTGAAGCGTTTTCTATTAAGAAGTTGAAAACACCTTCGTTAATTGAGTATTAAGGGAATGAGATGGGTGCAATGAGCCATATAGCCACCTATACCACCCTTCATTCTTTAGACAAGGAGAAGTGGAAAAGGAAGCATCAATGCTGTGCTGTTCCTGTAGTGTTGTATGTCAGGAACAGCTGTTGCCCGAGGTAGTTCTCTGACTGCAAAGCCCCTACGACTAAATCAATAAGACTTAGAGATGTATGCACATACACAATATACATGCAAGATTAAGTTTTACATTCAGAGCTTGATAAAATCATCTGGTTTTGAGATAAAAGTTTTAATACGCGCCTCCAAAAATACGCGTCTCCAAAAATACGCGTCAAACCAAAGATCTTTCGTCTTCAAAAAAAAAATTCAAAATAAAAACAGGAAAAATTAACCTTCAATAAAAACTGCCTACTACTTTAAATTCTACAACATTCTCATGCTTATAAACTGTGTTTTTTAGGTCTTTAAATCATCAAAAAAGCAGGAGTTTTTTAAGATTTTAATATTTTTTGATACAGTTCATTTGTTGTCTTGATTAAATACATTTTTTTAAGATGGTTTAAATAGGTTTTTTTTTTTTACAAAATTTAGGACTTTTTAGATAATTTTTTAAGGACTTTTATAAGGATTAATGCGTCCAGACTTACTGTTTTTAGACGATTAATTTTAGAAGTCTTTTTATTTTTAGTTTCTTATGTGAAACATAACGGTAGTTCTTTAGATTTTATAGGACTTCTTTTTAAAAGATTTTTTTTTAGAAAATTTTGTATTTTTAGAAGAAAATTCAGGATTTTCCATTTTTAATTACTTTTTTCCCTGTTTAAAACAAAACAGTTTTTCAAAGCTTTAAAAATTTCTAAAAAGGTAGTAAATTATTTAAATTTTTTAAGGAGTTTATTACTTTATTTAGCAATCTTTTAAAAAATTTTAGAAATTTAGGACTACTTACAATTTTTTAATAAATATTGATGATTTAAGAAATAATTTTAAAGGTGATTTTTTTTAGTTCTGATGATTTTTTTTTTATAAAAGCAGCTCCATATTTTTTCAGACTTTTTAGCAAACTTTAAGTAGAATTTTTGCGGATTTTTAGACTCTTCTTGAAGAGTTTTTAGCACATTTTAGAGAATTTCAAATGATTCTTAGAAAAATATTAGGGAATTTTTAGGGTTTTTAGAAGTGATTTAAAAATTTTAAGGTTAACCTTCAAAGAGTATTTAAAGAAAATTTAGGCCCTTAAGATAATAAGAGTTTTAAAATATTCTTAAATATGATTTTTTTAAAGAGGTTTTGCTATTATTTAGAAGATAACTCGGACATTTCGATGATTATTTTTAGATTTTAGATGCATTTTTCTTCTTTTAAACAACTTATAAATTTTTTAGATGATTCTAAACTCCTATTTTATACATTTTGTGAAGTATTATTACTCACAGAAATGCGAATTTTTTTGGAAATCATTTAAATTATAGTTTGTAGATTAGATTTTGGAGTCAAATAAAAGAATTTGCACTAATTACAACAATTTAAAACGTAATCTTTTGAATTTTAAATAAAAAAAAACCTCCTGGATTAATGGGAATGACGTTTAATTTCGGTTTAAAAATTATTTATAATTTAAAAAAAATAAGGACAAAACGAGAAATTTAACGAGTAAATAATGAAAACCAAGCTGATAATCGATTGTCTTTTTGAAACGAAAAAAGTAGCAATCCAAAAAAGCATGGACGTTTCTGATTGGTTAGTTTCTTCGAAACGTCATCGAAATATTTAAATCCGACGAATAGAAATGATGGAATTTAAGGAGTTAATAAATGGCCATGTTTTTTGGGGATTAGTGTGTTAGTTATAATTTAAAAAAAAAAAATAGAAAAAGCAAAAAAATTAAATGCTTTCGGCTTTTTAGATTGTGGTAAAGAAAGGGTTGTTGAGGTTTGTTTACGTACGAAGCGAAGGTGAAGTTATTTTGGAGAAAGTGTTTATATTGGGAAGTATTATGCACGTGGCCCATCCTGGTCGGATCTAGGATGGGCCACGAGGGAGTTTGGTAACAATGAAAGAGGAGAAGATCATTTGTCCCGACAAGCGGAAAGCTGAAAGGACCGCGCTGTACACTGTTTATATAATGTCACAAGGCAATTGTCGTTTACCATTTGTCATCCCTTTTAAACTACTTCCACCCCTTCCTTCTCTCTCTCCTTCCCCCTCTCTGACTCGAGTAATTTAATGATTATTCTTTTAAGACCTCCTAAGAGACGTCGCAGGACGAAATATATCTTAAA